TCTGTCCGTCTGTCTGTTCATCCGTACTGAGTTGTAGTTAGGAGCACTTTTGCAGACAGACATTCAACCAATGCTTTACTGAAGACATTAGGCTCATGATCTAACCAACAAATTTAATAACCATATATGGTTCTGTGATTAAAAATGCATAAAGTTCAAAAATGCAGTTTTCTTTCAATCCTGTATCAACCTGCATAATGAGTAGCTATTCCCATATTGCATTATGATACATCCATTATATCCTGCATCCAATCTTGCAATTTCATCTACCTAATTTTTTGCCTTCAGGCCACTAAAATCAAATTTAACTCCCAAAAAAAAGAAAAGATTTTCTAAATTTGTTTGCTGATATAGATTATCACAGACTTTTGTGTGCCTACATCAGATAAAATGTGTCTAGAATAATCTCCATCAAATTATTTAATCCTGATAACATTGATTGTAAGATGTACATTCACTTTTTATCTGTCTCTGTCATGTCTGTATTATTTATTATGTTGGATGTTTGTGTCTGGTTAGTATCAGACATCTTTCAGAATGTTATGCTTTCTCAGCTTCGTTGCCATTCTTTCTTGTCTTGTATACGTTTACATGTTCTTGTATATGTAATCAAATATTTAATGCTTCTCTTTAAAACTGTAATCCTATTAATCTGCCGAGTGACTGTCATGTGACAATTATTAGCCAATCACAGAATGCTCATGCTTCCCTCTGAAACTAATCCTATTAATGTGCTGAGTGACTGTCATGTGACGATTATTAACCAATCACCATACAGATACTTGAATATCAGTCTAGTTACATATATCAAGTGACAGGTCAGGAGAGACTACCTATTCGCTGATTGGGAAAAAAATCACTTTCCACTTAGCAGGATAATCTCTGGACAATCCATGTACATGTACTTTAGAATATCAGATGGCACAATCTTATTGGCTTTGATATCTCTGGAGAGATCCCGCCATCAAATTCTGTTTAGATAATCTTAAATCTCTCTTATCATGTACCCTCGTAAAGCTATGGGAAGTGTGCCCTCAAACCAGGGCAATAGATTCATATCACACCTGTCCTAGCGCACTTGGCTTTCATTGTTCAAAACAAATTGCATCATTCTAAATTACCTCCTGTGTTTTAGGTCACACCGTGCTAAAATTGTAATTGTACCTATAAGGTATATGATAAAACCTTTATGGACTGGATACAGCTTTTGCTGCTCTTGGTCATATGCTTGCGCACTGTCACAAGCTTGGACACTTCTCCTGCATGACCTCAGACCGCAAAATTCATATCCAGTTCATAAAGAATAATACCAACTAAAATGCTGTCAAATTAAGCTGTTGTCAAACCCAATCTAATTCCGTTACCATGCCATACCCTGAACATTCATATGTAATTATCACTGTTCACACAACTGAAAATCTTTTCTCCTCATAAAAATATCTTAGCGTATAAATATAGGATACACAATCACTGCTATTGTATTCATTGTTACAAAAATGTTAGCTTGAATGTCTGGGAGTTCCTGCTGCTTATTTTGAATAACTTTATAAGCTGTGTATCATAAACGTGAGGGGTTTAATAATATCTGGATATTCTAACAAGCCGCAATCATCACTTATTCAACGACTTGTGTAATCATGTTGTCTATCGCCTCGAGTTCAAATCGTAATCTCTTGAGATGAAATTAAAAAAGGATAAATCCCCCTATTAGTAGAATTAGAAGAGAGTACGAATTGCGGTAGAGAGATTTTCCGATTATGTGTGATCCTCCCGTTTTTGAAATTTATATGTTGGTACATACAATGACATTGGTGTTCATAGTTCTTGAGTTTGTATATCATCACTTTCTCTTATGAACCTGACGGTTTCCATTTTAATGTCAGTGTTCAGTCCATTATTGTCTGTTAATGATGATCAATCATTTGAATGCCAACCTAATACCTTAAGGGAGATAAGCCCTGCGGTTTCTATCAACCTTGTCTTCAGCAATACTCATCCTTGGGTGTAGTCTTGTATGACATTGTCAGTTTTCATTCACTAAATGTCCATTTTTCCCTGCTAGTACATTTCAGGTGTCAAAGTGGTGCAATGTTAACCTCTGTCAACTGAAATCTAATGTGGCTAATGTGATTTATATTTTCTTAGCCACAATAACTCCTCAAAATCTGAAATTACAATGTCATGTAACCCTATAGCACAATGCATAATGTCAGGAAATAATGTCCATTAA